GACTCCTTTCTTAAGCACATCCATAAGACTAGAATGAAGACAGGAAAGCATAATGGAACTTGCATCAGTTCCCTTCCCTTATTTTGAAAGCATCATTCCATAGAAATAAAGGGAAAGAGCGAATCTCACCAGCTAGAAGAAACTGACCTACATATTTACAAAATCATGTAATATGGGTAGAGAAAGTGCAGTCCTCCAGATATTGGTGGGCTGAAGCTCCCATGAACCCTTGCCAGCAATGCCAATGGTGAGAAATTTTGCAAACTAAGGTTAACAATATTTTGCTCATCTCTGCCATAAAAGATGGAAAGACAGCAACTTAAGGAGAAGAAATAGGCAAAGGCGGCACAATGCAAAAATCAGTGGTTAACATCTAGTATAGGATGTCCTTGCCAGTGTTATTCCCATTACAATGCATGGTTGCGAAAGCTAGACGAAAGTTAAGAGGAAGAAAATTAATTCATTAGAAATGTACTTCTGGAGAAGGGTCTACAGATACTGTGGACTGCTGAAAAATATATATAAATAGACCAAATCAATCCTGAACTCTCCCTAGAAGACTAGATATCTCAACTGAGACTGTTGTACTTTGGCCATATCTTGAGAAGACATGACTCATTAGAAACAAATAATGATTGGTAAGGTAGAAATGAGGAGAAAAAGAGGAAGACTGCATTCCGGATGGATATATTCAATCAAGTATGAGACATCCCTAAAATTGCAAGATCTGATCAGGATTGTTGATGCTGTGAACAAGAAAATAAGATATTCTGGGTCACTCACTGTATGTGATTACTATTTGAAAAATAGTTCAAAACCTTCTAATTACATTTGCAGGTAAATAAAACAATACAATCTGCCTTAGACAGTGGTTATATCTGCTACCAAGAACTCTTTCTCTCTGAAAAGTGTGTGTATCAGGATCGACTTGAAAAACTGCAAGTCACTTCTGGTGTGAGAGAATTGGCCATCTGCAAGGATGTTGCTCAGGGGACACCCGGATATTTCACCATCCTGTGGCTACTATCAAGTTGTAAGAACCATTAATAAATGCACAATTACCTGGGTTTCCAGACAAGGCTCTGGATCTTCCTTATTGAGCTACACATGAACACTTTGTAGAAAACATATAAATCTAAGTTAGAAAAGCTTTAAATAAACATGTGTGCACATTTGGTACTCCTGCGGAGCAAAATCAATGCTTTTTTGAAATGGTACTCAAATGGAATAATGGGAAATTACAACGTAACTGAAATTAATGAAGTAATATAAAGACAATACAAGGGATGCTCTTTCGGAGCTGCTTAGCTCAAGAGGTGGCACTAAGCAAAGTTCCTGAGAAACTTACATGCTGCAAAAATGTTATGTTCGGAGTTAGGGACTTGCAAAAACAAGTCTCTTTTCAAGTTACAAATCCTCCTACTTGTATCTTATGCACTCATCCAATAAAACTTAGCACAAAGTAAGTGAAAGTAAGGGAAAGCTAAGAGGTTGCTCTGTTTAAAAGTATAATGCTCCACCAGGTTGCCAAAATCATACCTTCCCACGCTTAGAATCAGGTAAACACACATCTCTGCTAAGTAATAAACTTATTAGGATTTCATGTGGGCATGTCATAAGGATGGGCAGACATGTAGAATATTGAAAAGTGCTGGTCTTGGTGACAGAAATTTACATACACTTGTTAAAGATTTTGTACTCCAGGTTTTCAAAATATCACTTTTATCCACAGACACATAAAAGCCAGTCATGCCAAACAGGCCAATTCTTTGAACCTATGAGCAGCAGAAGGCCCATTGAACTGACAGATTTTTTTTTGCAACAAAGTTCAATTATATAATTGCTCCACTCTTGACAATAAATATAATCTCTGGTTTGGGAATAAATGTAGCATGAATGAATGATTCATTGTACATAGGTTAACATACCATACAGTATGAGTATTAATGACTATTCTTGGATATTTCTACTATAAATATAATGAAACCAAGACCTAAGTATTTGATTGTCCCAATTAGGACAGACCCATTAAAGAAACAGTAACTTGAGAAGTCAATACACTTGTAAATTCTACTGATTCAATGGATCTAATCTAAAACGAAATGGGATACTAACCAAAGCAATCTAACTTCTAAAACAGGACTAAGCAGCTCTGGCTTCACAGATATTAATGGTCTTGAATTTTCATCAGTCCTAGCCTTTATGGCCAATGTAATTGCAGTTCAGTATCATCAGTGGGCTTCAGTTGTCCAATCAGGGCTATGATCCACATAATGAGAATATAAGAATGTAACTAAATTACATTGGGTTGCTGTGAGTTTCCTGGACTGTATGGCCATGTTCCTGAAGCATTCTCTCCTGACATTTCACCCACACCTATGGCGGGCACCCTCACAGGTTGAGGGATCTGTTGGAAACCTCTGCAGATGCCTGTCACAGATGTGGGCAAAACGTCAGGAGAGAATGCTTCTTGAACATGGCCATACAGCCCAGAAAACTCACAGCAACCCATTGATTCTGGCCATGAAAGCCTTCGACAATGCATTAAAACTGCATTATTTTTCCTTCTCCTATTTCCCAGATCTCCCTAAATAGAAAAAGGAAGAGGGGAAGGGGAAAACAATTGTGAAGAATAGGAAAGTTGTTTTCTCCCTTGTTGGCAATTAAATCCAAAGAGAAATCATCTGGTTCCTAGAAACTCACATAACTGCAAGGAAAAAATGTATTTGCTGGCATGAGTTGAACAACAGTACATAAACTGAGTACTTGCCTCAGCAAGACCCGTTACGTAGAAGAAAGAACTATGGACTACAACAGAAACTGAAGGGTTTTCTTTCCCCTCTATTTACACAATGAAGATGTTACTATTACCTGTTTTACATTAAAACTGTACATTAAAATGGCTAGATCTTGCAATGTAGGCACCTTTATGTATTTTATGGATTTATCTGCTGACTTTCAAAATGCAAGTTTTGTAAAGGAGTTTTAAAATCAGTACCATTACGAATACACCAAAAACTGTGAAATTTGGACAACAGTATAAAACAATTCTAAATCCAGATTAAACCTCCTAAAGTGTTGGAAATGGAATGCATTTTTAGTCTTAAAAATTAACATATAGTTTCAAACAAAGGAAGAAAAAATTAAAAGGTTTTGGGAAGCTATTTACAACTAATCAGGTAAAAAACTAGACACGCCTCTTTTGAGAAAGAGATCTAAATTTATTGAGATAGTATTTCAGAACAAGGAACTAGCAAAATCATTTCTGAGAATTTCTTGCCTAATAAAAATGATGAAATGCATGGGGTCACCATAACTTGACAAGTAACTTGAAGGCACACGCAAGGAAAAAAATGTACTTTATACCTGCTAGTCTAATTTGACTTTAATGGGCCAACTATGCAACGCATGAAGATAATGATAAGTCAATGGCCATTTTAAAACATAAAGATTTTTTTAAAGTTGGGAAGGACAGGTAGTCACCCAAATACTTTCTTAAGAAAGCTGCAAAGCAGTGGTGGTAGAAGAAGAAAACTCTCAATGGAGTTGAACTACAGCTCCCATCATAACACATCACTGGCTACAGTAGTTAGAATTGATGAGTGTTCCAGTTCAGCAACATCTGGACTATACCCCTGCATTAATGCCACTATTCATCTCTAACAATGTAATATACAACCTGATCATTGAACTTTGTACAAATCTTTAAAATGTTGCATAATAAAATTTACCACCAAAGTGTACTTTGTTTTAATCAACATTCAAAAGGTACCGTATATCCTCAAGTGTAAGCCGACCTGAATATAAGCCAAGGCACCTAATTTTACCACAAAAAAACTGGGAAAATGTATTGACTTGAGTATAAGCCAAGAGTGCGAAATGCAGCAGCTACTGGTAAATTTCAAAATAATAATAGATACCAATAAAATTATATTAATTGAGGTTAAATGTTTTTGAATATTTACATAAAACAGTAATTTAAGAAAAGACTGTCCAACTCTGATTAAACCATTATTCTAACCTTCTTAAATGTAAATGTTATGTATTCTTCCAATAATAATAGAGTAAAATAATGAATGTAATACAAATAATAAGAGTGAAATAATGGAAATGCAATAATAACAGTAATAATAAAGTAAAATAAATGTAATATGAATAATAAAGAGTAAAATAATAAATGCAATAAAAATAATATTAGTGCAGTAAAATAATGGAAATGTAATAGCAATAATAGAGTAAAATAATAAATGTAATATTAATAACTGAGTAAAATAAATGTAATAATATTAATAAATAGAGAAAAGTAATAAATGTAATACTAAATACAGTAAAATAATAAATGTAATACAAATAATAAGAGTGAAATAATGGAAATGCAATAATAACAGTAATAATCAAGTAAAATAACAAATGTAATACAAATAATAAAGAGAGCAAAATAATAAATGTAACGCAAATAATATTAATGCATTAAAATAATGTAAATGTAATAATAACAATAATAGAGTAAAATAATAAATGTAATATTAATAATAGAGTAAAATAAATGTAATAATATTAATAAATAGAGAAAAGTAATAAATGTAATACTAAATAGAGTAAAATAATAAATGTAATAATAATAATAACAGAATAAAATAATAAATAACCTTGACTCAAGTATAAGCTGAGGGGAGCTTTCTCAGTTTAAAAAAAGGGCTGAAAAACTCAGCTTATACTCAAGTATATACAATATGTCATCCCTTGATCAATGTAACTATGTAAATTGAATTTTCCTGCTTTTTGCAAAAATGGATTCGTATTGCAATTGATATTAGGCACAAATATGAAAACCTTTTCAGATGTGTGTCTTTCTGCTATTTTTTTAGTGGATACAGAGTAAAAATGAATTCTGATCTCCAAATAATGACTTATTCACATATAGTATACCAATTCAACATAAAAACATGCACAAAAGTCAAAGAAACTGAAATTTTTGCTTCTTAAAAAGTACTCCTTACTTTTGAAAGAGTGACACTCGATCTTTTCTGCTTGGGAATGCATCTGTTTCATCACCATAACCTCCTTCTTCATCGTCAGAAAGTTTTTCAGCCATCTATTTGTATAAACAAAAGACAGAACTCATAAAATGTCATTAGCTGTTAATGCCCCCTTTTCCTTTGTAGAATTACAGAAGAAGACAGATACAAGAAAATAAGATTCACAGTCTTTCAACATGCACTGAACTTTTAAACTCTGAGCCAAAGTTCTCAAATTTTGCTTTTGAAATATAAATGGAAGAGATGCTTCCAAAAACCTAAGGGATAGCTACTGAAATATATAAGATGGGCTGCATATACAAGTGCCTGAGATACAAACCCATCTCTTCCTGGTGTAGTTCTCTACAGACAAGGAAGGAGACCACACAAACATCTAGGACGTTAAGATCTTCTGGGGAGGTCCTGCTCTCAGTCCCGCCTTCCTCGCAGATGCGTCTGGCGGGGACGAGAGACAGGGCCTTCTCAGCAGTGGCCCCTTGACTGTGGATTGCTCTGCCTAGAGATATAAGATCGGCTCCCTCCCTCCTGACTTTTCAAAAAAGGTGAAAACCTGTTTTTTTGAGCAGGCTTTCCCAAATTCGGCATAGTTATACGGAATCATGGAACTACTTGATAACGCAGTGGAATAATGACTTGACATGGGGACACTTACAGTAATGAGTCATGCTACGGTTTTTATATTGTTTGCTATCGTTTTTAATAGAATTTTATTATTGTTTTACTTGTTATAATTGTTGAGACATTTAATTGCTGCCAAGTTGTGAACCGCTCTGAGTCGCCTCTGGGCTGAGAGGGCGGTATATAAATATGGTAAATAAATAAATAAATAAATAAATACACAAACCCCATGAATAGATTCTAGATCAGTAAGGCCCACACTTATTTAGACCATAGCTGTGTGCACAAGGAAATAAATACACTGAAATCAGTGTAACCTGAGTAAACACTGCTAGCAGCCTCATGGTGTTTGGTAAAGGATCCAACAGTTTCTCCTACTACTTCAGACTACTTACTAGCCTATGCCTAAAATTCTTAGAGCGGTTTCTCCCACAATTCACAACAGCTGGTAAGATGGCTAAGGTTTTCTGGGAGCTGAAGTCCAAAATACCGGGAGGAATAGTTTGAGAAACACTAGCCTAGAGGATCAAGGGCCACAATACTGCTACTCTACCTGCCTTCCCAGATGAAGGTCATGGAAAGAGCACTTTGACCCCATGCACAACCATCAAAGGAGCAAGGGTCCTTTCATATCTCACAATTAGAATTGCATAGTTTTATTTTAACTGCATCCCGTGTAATCCTGGGATCTGTACATCGTTTGGTGGAGATCTAAATATCCTAAAGGCACCAGATCCTGGCGAGCCCTAGTTAATACTTGTATGGAAGACTACCAATGACATGACATGTGCTAGGCTGTATTTCGAAAGAAGGAACTACTGGTAATAAAACCACTTCTGTATATTCCTTGTCTAAGAAAACCTTGTTAAATTAATGGGGTCACCATTAAGTTGACAGGCAATATTAGAGCTCTCTGCTAAGGAATCTTAACACCCCCTCCTCCACCGCACTCCGGGCCAGAGAGTTCCACTGCTGAACAGCTCTCACAGTCAGGAAGTTCTCCGTAATGTTCAGATGGAATCTCCTTTCTTGTAGTTTGAAGCCATTGCTCCGCGTCCTTATCTCCAGGAAAGCAGAAAACAAGCTTGCTCCCTCCTCCCTATGACTTCCTCTCACGTCTTTATACATGACTATCATGTCTCTTCTCAGCCTTCTCTTCTTTAGGCTAAACATGCCCAGCTCTTTAAGCCACTCCTCACAGGGCTTGTTCTCCAGACCCTTGATCATTTTAGTCGCCCTTCTCTGGACACAGCACACAAGATCATTCTGCTGGCTGTTGTTTTGGATCACATGTCGGACACTTCCCAAGTGTCTAGGACTGTGTGATGTATCCGYRAATAATTCATGCAGATCCCAGTRAGATGGCCTTTTGAAGCTGSCAGCTGGTAATCKTGTCAGCGCAGATTGTGTTTAAGTGCAGGCCAAGGTCTTTAGGCACTGCACCCAGTGTGCCGATCACCACTGGGACCACCTATACTGGTTCGTGTCAGAGTCTTTGCAGTTCGATCTTTAAATCCTCATATCGTGTCARCTTTTCCAGTTGTTTCTCTTCTATTATTATTATTATTATTATTATTATTATTATAGATTTATTTGTATATAACAACTCAGCACACATGCGTATTAGGTCCAAGTGTCTTACTACTACTACTACTAATACTATTATTATTACTACAATTGCTATTATACTGGGGCCCCTTCCACGCAGCTGAATAAAATCCCATATCTGCTTTGAACTGGGTTATATGCCAGTATGGACTATGGACCCTTCCACACAGTCATATAACCCAGAATATCAAGACATACAATCCCACAATAATTGCTTTGCACTGGGTTATCTGAGTCCACACTGCCATATATTCCAGTTCAAAGCAGAAAATGTGGGATTTTATTCAGCTGTGTGGAAGGGGTCTATATTCCAGTTCAAAGCAGATATTGTGGGATTTTCTGCCATGATATTCTGGGATATAGGATTGTGTGGAAGGAGCCTTTGAGAAACTCTGCTCTAGAATAAGGGCCCTTCCACACAGCCATATGGCCCAGAATATTAAGGCAAAGAATCTCACAATATCTGCTTTGAACTGGGTTTGAACTGCTGGTCTTGGCCTATAAAGCCCTATATGGTTTCAGCCCAGCTTACTTGTCTGAACGTATCTCCCTCTATGATCCACCCCGGAGTCTAAGATCGTTGGGGGAGGCCCTGCTCTCGGTCCTGCCTCCCTCGCAAGCGCAGTTGGTGGGGATGAGAGATAGGGCCTTCTTGGTGGTGGCCCCCATCTGTGGAACACACTCCCCAGTGAAATTAGGCCAGTTCCATCTCTCCTTTCCTTTAGGAAAAAGCTCAAATCATGGTTTTGGGACCAGGCATTCAGGTAGAAGGCTTGACAGTAATCACAATGATTCATGAGAATTGATAATGGACAGGTTTTGGACTGGGACTCTGGACCCTGAATTGGACTTGGGTGTGGATATATTGTTGCTAGCAATGTTTTACTTCCCACTGAGCTTCAGTTTCTTTTTTAAGCACAGGACATACGTGTGACCCTGTTCTGGAATGAGTTTGTCCGTCCATTTGTGAGTAAGAAGAAAACTGAAAGCCAGTTGGATGTCATGTATTTAATATAGCATGAATTCAAAACAACCTTAACAGATTAGAGAGATGGGCAAAACTAACAAAATGAAGTTCAACAGGGACAAATGCAAGATACTCCACTTAAGCAGAAAAAAATGAAATGCAAAGATACAGAATGGGGGACACGTGGCTCGAGAGCAGTATGTGTGAAAAAGATCTTGGAGTCCTCGTGGACAACAAGTTAAACATGAGCCAATAATGTGATGCGGCGCCGAAAAAAGCCAATGGGATTTTGGCCTGCATCAATAGGAGTCTAGTGTGTAGATCCAGGGAAGTCATGCTACCCCTCTATTCTGCCTTGGTTAGACTACACCTGGAATCATACTGTGTCCAATTCTGGGAACCACAACAGAAGAGAGATATTGACAAGCTGGAATGTGTCCAGAGGAGGGCAACTAAAATGATCAAGGGTCTGGAGAACAAGCCCTATGAGGAGCGGCTTAAAGAGCTGGGCATGTTTAGCCTGAAGAAGAGAAGGCTGAGAGGAGACATGATAGCCATGTATAAAGATGTGAGGGGAAGTCACAGGGAGGAGGGAGCAAGTTTTTTTTTCCTGCTTCCCTGAAGATTAGGATGCGGAGCAATGGCTTCAAAATACAAGAAAGGAGATTCCATCTGAACATTAGGAAGAACTTCGACTGTGAGAACCATTCAGCAGTGGAACTCTGCCCTGGAGTGTGGCGAAGCTTTTAAACWGAGGCTGGATGGCCGTCTGTCGGGGGTGCTTTGAATGCAATTTTCCTGCTTTTTGGCAGGGGGTTGGACTGGATGGTCCATGAGGTCTCTTCCAATTCTGATTCTAYGACKCATCTTGTTGTGTTTCAAATAATAATAATAATAATAATAATAATAATAATAATAATAATAGGAAAAGAAAAAGGAGCAAATCCCAAGAAGAATTGGCTTTTGGGGAACATGGGGTGCATCTACAATGCAAAATTAATGCAGTTTGACCCTTTAACTGCCCTGGGATTGTGGGAGTTGTAGTTTTGCAAGGTCTTGAGTAGCCTTCACTTGCCAAACTACAAATCAGAGGATTCCATAGCACTGAGCCATAGCCACTTAAAAGGGGTGTCAAGATGCATTTAGATGTATCCACAGTAGTGTCAATTTAGGACTTCTTTGCTTTGGTTTTGCTTTTTTTGGATGCTATGCAAGTGTGAATCCAGCTTTTCTCTTCCAGGCAAAGGGGAAGGAAGGGGGCTTGGGAGGAGGGGGGGGGAGTTTAGATGACAACTATGGGTTCCCGCCCCCTCCCTCCAGTCCCAACTTTAAGGAGAAACTTGCCTGAGAGCCGCGAATGTGAAGTCTTGCTGCAGCTGGGCTCAGTTACGCAGAAAGCGAAAGCAAAAGGCGGCCCCTCCTGCGCCTCTCTCGCTCGGCAAAGGCTCCCGCCTCCAACCTCGAAAGTGGAAACCGCTCTCCCTCTTTCTCTCACCCGCCTGCGTGGCTGCGGCGCCCTCGCTTCCCAACAGCGCCACCTGCTGGGATGAAGCGCCCAGCGCAGTTTGGCTCAAGCAAAGCCAAGTTGTCCCAGAAATATATACGCCCTTTCACTGCACTTTGTAGCCCTGGGGCTCATTTACAAGCTGAGTAAATACACGAAGGAGAAAGAACGAGCAGTATAATCCTGATCAAATAATCACTGTGACACTTTGAAAACTGAATAAAAATGGTATTGCAAGGAGGGGGGGGGGAGGCTGCAAAAATTTCTGTAACAAGGAGAAAAAGAGCCACAAGAAAAATTCAGAATTTATTTTTAGAAAGTAGTTGGGGGGTCTAATGTTCCCAAAGTATAGAGT